TTCATAGCTAGCCAGCCAGAAGTGTAGATCACAATGTGAGATTTAATGATTGCCTTCTGAAGTAGTGGGCAGTCTTGTGGGATTGAACCTTTAACCTGTGGGATCTGACACTATCTCCTGGTCACAGAGTGTTCTGTGTTGAGTGTGATGGTAGAGTCAGGAAAAGGCAGTTTGTTTTTTTCTTAAAACCCTTTTAGTTTAACTGAGATCTTCTATGAAGTACTGCTTTAAATCTTCCTGAGGCCGTAGGGAAAATCTTACAGCCCGTACTTGTGACTGCCATGAGACTATGTTTTACTAGAAATGCCTTGAATTTGATCTTTTCCATAAGGCCATTTTTAGTTTGAGAACCTTTTGCTGGGAGGGACTGAGGGCGAGAAATAGTTTTTTGTTGTTGTTGTTATTGAATCATTAAGTCACAGCTTCTTTTTTTTTTTTTTTTTTTTGAGACAGAGCCTCAAGCTGTCCCCCTGGGCAGAGTGCCGTGGCATTACAGCTCACAGCAACCTCCATCTCCTGGGCTCAAGCGAGTCTCCTGCCTCCGCCTCCCAAGTAGCTGGGACCACAGGCGCCCGCCACAACGCCCGGCTATTTTTTGGTTGCAGCCGTCATTGTTGTTTGGCGGGTCCGGGCTGGGGACTCGAACCCGCCACCTTAGGTGTACGTGGCTGGCGCCTTAGCCGGTTGAGCTATAGGCGCCGAGCCTAAGTCACAGCTTCTTATATTTCCTTAAACCTACTCGGAAACTGAACAGTTCTTTAGTTTATCTCTCTCTATCCATGCTTGTCATGCAGGTGAAAGAAACCAGTTGGCACTTTCATCATTCATCCTGGAAAATTCCTTAGCCAGAGCTACCTTTTCTATTTTCCATATTACTACAAAGGACAGTTTTACTGAAATTTTTGCCACTGTGTAGAATGGATTTTTTTTGTCTCCTAGCCTCTGCTAAGTTTTCCTGAGGCCCTTCCCTGCCTGGTCCTGATGCTGCTAATGCCTCAAATTTCTGTTCCAGTTATCTATTGTTATGTAATAAAACTATGCCAGATTTAGTGACTTTAAACAATCATTGTAATTTTTGCAGAATTATGTGGATCAGAAGTTCTGGAAGGGCTCAGCTAGGCATTGGCTGAAGCAGATGGCTTCTTCACTCACAAACATGGAGCTTTGGCGCTCTTGACCTCAATTTCTGAAGTGCAGTAGCTCATCTTCTAGGGCCTCTTCCTACTGCTTAGGCATCTCACAACATGGCTGGTTCCCAAGAGGGAGCTTCATAATGTTGAGGGGTACGAAAGCAAGGAGGAGAGTTCCAGCCAGTTGAGAGCTAGTGCTTCTGCCATGTTCTTTTCATAAAAGCATTTAGAGTGGGCTCACCCAGGCTCAAGGATGTGATAAACGCACTCTACCTCTTGATATGATAGTGGCCAGGTCACACTGTAGAAGAGCATGTGGGTGGGGGGTAAAAGCCTTTGGAAATATAAACACCTTTGAAAATTGTGGCATCCTGCCACAGGGATGCAATTTCATTTTTCTCCAAATGGATAGCAATTGGATAATTGAACATTTATTGAACAATTTGTGCTTGATCTATAATGTCTGTTCTGTCATAAATGTTTCTAAATGTGAATATGTGTTTGTTTTGGATTCTCTTTTTCTATTTTTAGTAGAGATAGGGTCTTGCTTTTGCTTAGGCTGGTCTTGAACTACTAGGCTCAAATGATCCTACCATCTCAGCTTCCCAGAAGATTTCAAGATTAAAACGTTAGGATTAAATTGATAACTTTCAACGCACAAAATAAAAGTAGCCCACTGGAGGGAGCTCTTCAGCATTTTACCTCAGGCAGGGTCCTCAGACTACTCAGAAAATAGCACACGTGCAGTTGTTACTCACAGCAAAGATCTTATCTCAGTGTGGAGGGAAAAAGTGCCTCCCTGATATCTGTTCAGTCATAGTAGTTTTGCATCTAAGAAATTCTGCTTTGATCTTTGGAAGATAGTACTTGTTTCTGGGGATGGGAATACAAGAAACATTTTTGAACTGAGGGAGAAATTTATGGATCATCCAGTTTAATTTTTTGATTTGAAAATTGAATAAATTTGACTGTGATTTAGAGAGAGAGACCTTTAGTTTCATAAAGGATACATAATTTGTGAAAGAGCCAAACTTGGAACTTAGGTCCAAGAATTTTCACATTGTAGTTAGAGAGAATGAAGGGGTTGGCAAGTAAGCAGTGGCTATTAGTGGTGGGTTGGGGTTGTGTTTAATTTTTAATGGACAACCTTAAGGGATAAAATTGGGGTAAAATAAAAAACAAGAAAAACGGGAGCAGAAAAACTAGCAATATTTGAGACCTTACTATTGAAGAAGGAAACAATGAAAAATTATAAGAGAAAAAAAAATCTAGGGGAAAAAAGTTGAAAAAATTTTTTTTGAAAAAAGGAAAAAATAGATATATAGCTTGCTGTAGATTGCCTGGGCAACAGGTGATCTTCTGAGGCATGTGATGCTAATCGTGATGCTGATGCAGTTGTATAAGAAGGAGGCTGGAAGCCTCTGTCTTGCCAAAGGAGACCTGGTCCTGTCTTCTTGATTTCTTTGCCCTCAGTCCCGGCAGGGTTGTGAGCCTGCTTAATATTAATAAACACACCTCAACCTTTCCAAACCATGTCCCTTGGCCATGCAATTGCTTTCCCAGGAAAGCGAGTAGCTCAAATCTCCCTACAGGTGGCTGCCCAGCTTATCAGGTGTGCCTGAACTGGCCTTGCGCTAGGACCTTGAGGGCCAACCCTGTAAAGCAGCTTTCCTACAATGGCTGCACCGGCCTGTAGCCAACCAATGAGAGCTCTGCTCTGCTCAGTCCTCGCCCCTGGATGTTGTTCAAGAGCACTCGCTGGCCTGCCTAAGCTCTCCCAAGGTAACTCACCCAAGTGCCCACGTTCAAGAAAAAACAAAAACAAAAACAAAAACTCTGCAGCCAGGCCTTCTTTGTCTGAAAACTACTGCTGATGCCACTGCCTAACTAGCCATCCTCTGCTGGCTCACCCTTGTGCTGGTTTTCTTCTGCTTCCAACCTCCTTTTGGGGTCCTTCTGCCTCTCTGAGGCCGCAAGGGATGCTTCTGGGCAGAGCCCACAGTCCAGATGTGCCTGGAGTCTTTTCTCCCACATCTCACTATGCACAGCTGCAAAGGAGCTGTTTCTAGTCCACCATCTTGCTGTGCCTCCTGACATACTCTTACAACAAAAGATCAACAAGAGGAAAACAGGCAAGTTTGCTAGTGTGTGCAGGGTGCACCAGATGGGACAAAAGCAACTCAGAACAGTGGCTTGGAGTCCCAGCTTATAGGAGGTCTTCAGCAAGAGCAATAAGTTTTAGATGGACTTCCAAAGGTCTGAAAATATGGGAAGGTAAATTAATAGGGAAACGAATGAGTAAAGCCTGCTCAGATTCCTTGGGTTCCGTCTCTAAGCTGATAAAGGGATAAAGATTATAAAGGAGAATTTTATCTTTGTAATTCTGCCCTGCTTTTAGGTAAACAGAAGAAAGGTGGAGAGTTTTTCTCCATCTGCTTCATAATGCCTTGTAGCTCACAAAAATTATTTATGTCAAAGAGACATGTTTTGAGGTGACATTCTGGTTTCCTTTAGTGGTCTTTTTTTTTTTTTTTTTTTTTTTGAGACAGAGCCTCAAGCTGTTGCCCTGGGTAGTGTGCTGTGGCATCTACAGCTCACAGTAACCTCAAACTCGTGGGCTCAAGCGATTTTCCGGCCTCAGCCTCCCAAGTAGCTGGGACTACAGGCGCCTGCCACAATGCCCGGCTATTTTTTGGTTACAGCCATCATTGTTGTTTGGCGGGCACGTGCTGGATTCGAACCCGCCAGCTCAAGTGTATGTGGCTGGCGCCTTAGCCACTTGAGCCACAGCTAAGCCCTTCTGTAATCTTGTCATAGTATTCATACTTGTGATTCTCCTGATTACCTGGATACAAACTTTCCTTGAAAACTGTAGACATATAAAAATTTGTTTCTACATTTGCCTTAAGATAAGATATTTAGTCATTTCTATGGATATCTTGGACTAGGTTTTAAGGCTAACCCTTTATTTTGGCTTGAATAAATAAAAAGTCAAAATAAAAGACAACATCCAGCTGACTTCTACGTCAACATTAAGAACTAGGTAGAACTCTTAACATTGCATTTATAATGAAGGGGAATTCGATATATTGTTTTGTAGCAAGCTTACTGAAAAAGATTCTCTGATAAAAGTATGTATTTAATTACCCTTCTGTTATTTATCATGTATGATGTAGACCAGTTCAAAGAGAGTTAGAACTTTCCTGGCCTTCTATGTGTTAGTCAAAGGAGTGATGCTGGGAATACACAGGAAGGCTGAGAACAGTAAAGAGTATAGAAAAACAGAATGAGGACATGGGCAGCTTTCTAGAGCCTTCTAAGATAGATTTCTAGACTGAAGTTTCAGTCTCATTGTTAAGCATTGAATATTCAAGGGAAGGAGGATTAATTTTTCTTAGAAATAGTTATCAAAGTGAATATTACCCCAGAAGATTTTTGTGTTAATATAGTCTTTCTTACTAGCAAGTATTACTGAAGATTTCTTTATCAATAATTTCTGTATGCAACATACCATCTGTAAATTTTAGCTGGATTTATGAAGCAATAAAGATGGCTTAGCCTAGTAGCCTGTTAAGAACATCTTTAAGCATGAAAATCAAATAAGAGAATAAGTTTTGTTATTTTAAAAATGTTTCATATATTTAATTCTTATTTTTCTCCATAAATGTTATTTAATAGGCATAAGGAACATTAAAAGGAAAATCATGTTAATGTTGGGTACAATCAGTTGTGTGAAATAATTTGATTACGTATGAGTGTATTTATTATATTTGAAGTTTGTAATTATTGTATATAAATTTTCAAAGATATAAGAAGTTAAAATATCAAGTCTCTCACTCCAATAATAGAGAATTTCTTCTTGGTTTTTAGATTTCCACCTTCCTCACCCTTGAAACCATATCCAAAGAAGCCTCTGTACCAAAAGGAGGTTATTAAGTTTCCAGAATGGAATGATCCCCCACCAGGCACGTCACAAGAGAACATCCCCGTGAAGCCAGTTGTAATGGTAAGTGCCGAGGCTGAAGGATGGAGGAGGCCCTGGCAGCAGGGTGAAATCATCTGTGAACCCCCATTCTTGGTCCATGTTTTTTCTGTTCGTTTTTAAGAACATTAATCTCAAAGTACTTTAAAATAATATCATACCTTCCGAAAGCTGAGAGACAAGTAAGAAAGAAAGATAGGCCTTCACATTTTTTCACTCTTGCTTATTGGCATATAGTCATCTTTTGGTATCTGTGGGGCATTAGTTCCAGGACCCCCATCTACCACCCCTCAACCCTGCTCTGTGGATACCAAACTCTGTATGCTCAAGATCCTGGTGGAAAGTGGTGTAGTATTTGTCTATAACCTCCATTCATCCTCCCATATTATAATCCTCCCTTATAATATCTAATTCAATATAAATGCTATGTAAGTAGTTGTCTAGGGAATAAAGATGAGAAAAAGTGTTTATACATGTTCAAGATATAACAATTCATTTTTAAAATGAATATTGAAGATAAAACGTTAACTTTAAGAAAATTTTTTTCCTAAGGAGATTGTGTATATCTCAGTTTGGAGAGAACAGTTAAGAAGTTTAGGCTTTATCAGAGGTAGTTCAAAGACCGGAGTGACACTAGTGATAGAAAGGAGGACTCCAGAGGGGTTTGTATAGATTGTCAGGGATCGTGATGAATTTGGATTAAAATATTAATTTATTTGATGGTAACAATGAGTCATGTTAAAGGTAAGTATATAATAAGGGCCCTGGAACTTGGAGGAGAGGTCAGATTTGGAATTGATAGCTTCATTCACTCAATGGAGATTTATTGACTGTCTCCTGTATGCCATGTGTTGTATTAGGGTCTATAGACACGATGGTGTGTGTCACAGATTTTGTTGTCAAAGAGCTTACAGACCAGTGAAGTGTGCCATGCAAGACAGACTATAGTTGTCCTTCTGTGGATGAGGGCATATGTTCCACCGTCCCCAGTGGATGTCTGAAACTGCGGGTGGTATCAAACCCAATTGCCATCAATCAGAAAACATTTCCTTTCGTGTTTTCCCCTTATAAATGTTATGCCTTTTCTGTCTTAACTCAGCACTTATCATGCACTATGATCATAATTTTTGCCGTTTGAGGTATGACAGCAAAACTGTCATGAAATCTTTTCCCTTCCCCACAATTGCACAGATAGAGGATTCACTTTTACCATGGATCTTCACAATCTCTCCATAGGATTCTTTTCTTTCCTTACTAGAAGTGAAGAACTTTTACCTTTTTGAAGGAAGGACTTGATTGCCTCTTTGGCATGTCTGAATTGCCAGCATTGTTAGTCTTGTTCTTTAAGCCATTATTAAGTAAAATATTTTGTTACTTTATTCAACAAAAGCACTGTGATACTGACGGTCTGGAGCATGAATAGTGATACTTATGGTCAGGGAGCATGAATAGTGTGGATTTGGTGTGGGTAGAGGGCACTGGGCACGAGATTTCATCATGGTTCTCAGAATGGCACACAATTTAAAATTTTTGAATGATCTATTTCCATAATTTTCCATTTAATATGTTTAGACTGTGGTTGACTAGGGGTAACTATAACCCTGGAAAGCAAAAGTTCACCTGTAATCCTAGCACGCTGGGAAGCCACAATGGATGGATTGCCAGAGCTCAAAGGTTTGAGACCAGCTTGAGCCAGAGAGAGACTTCATCTCTAAAAATAGCTGGGTGTTGTGGTGGACGCCTGTAGTCCCACCTACTGAGGAGGCTGAGACAAGAGAATTGCTTAAGCCCAAGAATTTGAGGTTGCTGTGAGCTGTGATGCCATGACACTCTATCAAGGGTGACAAACTGAGACTCTTGTCTCCAAAAGGAAAAAAAAAAAATAAAAGCAGAAGTTCAGATGAAGGGGGAGTACTGTATTAGAAAATGAAGTGACAATATTCTGAAAGAGTGAGCACAAATAGTACTTGAGGATTATTTAATTTATTTGTAATGATGAATACTTAACATCTTGTTGATAGTTCTTATCCTAGAGACAATTTAAGTATAAGCTCCGTGAAATGAGATACATTTCTTTGGACATTTGTACTTAACACCTAATGTGACTCCATATATAGAGCAGTTATTCAGTAGGTTTTTTTTTTATTATATGGTCATCCATATTGTTTATATGAAAGAGATAAAACCCCATATTAAATTTGATGGTAATTAAATTGTTTTTTTTTGTCATTGATATAAAGACTTCCTTTTCATATTCTATTTACTTCTGTGAAGTTCAAATGTTCATGATGATACCATTGGGAAGACCAAGCGTTTATTAGCCTATTTTAATCCACTCTTCAGGACTTTGCACCAATGATAACAATTTCTGTTCTGAATTATAAAAGTTTCAGGAGCCTTGAGGTGTGATATGCCACAGTCCCTGACTCTTTAATGCCTCTTTATCCTCCTCCCCCCAAACCTTATCATTAGGTCTCTTCTCTGGCCATCTGCATCCATATTTTTTTTTAAAAATAATTTTTGTCTTGCTTTTTCTTATCCTTTCTTTCCCCTTAAATGAAGTGGTAGAAGTTGGAGCTCCCTAGTTGTTATCCATATTCCCACTAAGGCTTGGACTGCTGCTTGTTAAAGATTGTCTAAAGGAAGAATGGCAGGGCAGGATGTGTTTTCCTCATGGGGCCTTGATGTAGTTTTTGGAATGATGAGGTTAGTCGATAAACAAACCCTTCATCTTTCTTAAGAAACACGAGCTCTTCATTCATGTTTTGTATATTACATTCTTTGTGTCTTTACCTTCAGTTTTCTTGTTGTTTTTTGTTTTTGTCCTGTCTTCTCTTTTGGCTAGCCACTGTATAAAATAAAATAGAATGAATAAAATTATTTGTTGTGTTTGCTCAGGGGCCAGTATAATGTGAAGGGTAAGCGTGGGGCTCTGGGTTGAATTTTGGCTTGTCCAGTTATTTGGACAACTTTTTGAACTTGTTTCTCTGTGTTTGTGTTTCAGTTTTCTGGGACAATAGTATATCCTCTAAAGGAGGGTTGTTGTGAGGATCAAGATGAGTTCATACTTGAAAGTGCTTAGAATAGTGCCTGGTACTCAGGTACCTAGTAACTGTTAAGTACTGTTGCTATATTTATTTCATGTGATTGTTTATAGGTAGAAAAAGAAAATATTTCATAAATTATCTGTAATACCATCCAGAGAGAAATATTATTAACATTTTAGTGTGCATCCCTACTTCCATGTGTATTTTTAACACAAAAATGATACCATGAAGACCTGTTTTGTAGCCTTTCTTCACTTAGAAATAGAGTGTTATGCTCATTTTGTCATGTTAGTGAATAGTCAATGTTTACAGTATCCGTGTCATCTAATATGGAAACAGTGTATTTGTCCAGCTCTTTACTCTTAACTATGTATGGTGTTTCTAGTTTTTAATATATAAACAATCTAGTAAGCAGTACCTTTATAGATAAACATCTGAATATATTCATGAGTGTTGTTTTAGGATAAGGTTTTGAAGTGAATTTGCTAGCCAAATGCATGCCTGCATTCAAAAAAAAATTCAGATATTTAGACATTCACAAATCATGTAGTCTTTGAATTTCTTTTATAATTCAGTACCTTTTCAAAAACAAAAGCAAAACCAAAAACCAAATAAAAAACAATCTAGCTCCTTTTTCGAAATTAATAAGCTTTTTCTATAATGTTACTTTTGCAGAAAGCTATTATAGAAAGTTTTATAAATGACTTACAGGTTTCACCTTTTAAAGGTTAAAATTCTTGGCGATTACCCGAAGGAAGTGTTATGACCTAAGTCTTATAGCTTAAAAGTGAGAAACAAGGTACTGAGAATATTGAGGAGGTAAACTTGCATGGTTTGGGCAAATTACTAACCTTCTGTATTCTTTAGTTTTTCTCCTTTGTAGACAGGGGTCCATTCCTTTACAACCAACATCTTCAACTGTGCTTGTAAAGCTCCTATTCTTCCTGCCTTTTGTGGACATCTAGGTCTATGGGCTGCTTCCCCATGTTATACTTAACTTGATATTTGCTTATGAAAAAAATAGAGAATTCTTGAAAGTAATATATTTTAATTTTATTTTAAACAATTACTCAGTTTTGGATAGTGTGTGAATTTGGATAGGTATCCCTTGATTGAATTTTGAATTAAAATTTTATTTCACTGCTGCTTTACTGATTAGTTGGAACTCCTACAAGAAAAGTTAATTAGTAAATGTCACGCTTATTGCCATAGCTCTTTTGTAATTCATGAATATTCATCTATACTATGACATAATCTTAAGAGTCATTCTTCTCTGAAGTCCGTGTAAAGAAAATTTTTATTTTTAATTATTTTAAATCAAATTACAAATAACCAAATCCGAAACTTTTCTCATAAAAATCATACCACTTTATACTGAATGTTCTCTCTCCCGCCTCTCTTTCCCTCCCTCCTCCGTTCTCCATTAGAATTCTGAGATGTGGTACAAGCGTCACAGCATTGCTATTGGCGAGGTGCCAGCTTGCCGGCTCGTCCACCGCAGACAGCTGACAGAGGCCCATGTGGAAGAGATATGGAAGTCTATGACCTTATCATAGTATGTGAATTGGATATTAATGAGGCATTTTAGCAAGTTTTTTTCTATTTTGTTTCTTTACCACTGTATATTTAATTTTCTGAAATTACATATGAAAATCTCAACTTTGCATTATTTGCAGCTGTGCTTAGCAAACGTAATTCAACTGAATTCTGGGGATTTTCTATTACCATTTATATAATAGTTAAAAATAGGAATTCAAAAGTTCTTATACTTCCAAGTAATACTGAAATCTTAAGTTTGATAAAACACATAATGGGCTCGGCACCTGTAGCTCAGTGGTTAGGGTACCGGCCACATACACTGGGGCTGGCAGGTTTGAACCCGGCCCAGGCCTGGTAAACAATAATGACAACTATATAACAAAAAGATAGCTGGGCATTGTGGGAGGCTGAGGCAAGAGAATCGCGTAAGCCCGAGAGTTTGAGGTTGCTATAAGCTGTGACGCCATAGCACTCTACCGAGGGCGACATAGTGAGACTCTGTCTTAAAAAAAAAAAAAATAACAAAAAACCCCCAGGGAGTGGTGCCTGTGGCCCAAGAAGTACGGTACCAGCCCCATATACCCGGAGTGGTGGGATCAAGTCTGGCCCTGGCCAAAAAACTGCAAACAAACAAACATAATGGAAAATTTGGTCTCCTGGATATTTGATGTACTGTAGATATAATTAAGGTGACAGTGTTATAGCAAATTTGCTTCTTTTTTTTTTTTTGACACAGTGCCTCAAGCTGTCACCCTGGGTAGAATGCCCCATGGCATCACAGCTCACAGTAACCTTCAACTCCTGGGCTCGAGCAATTCTCCTGCCTTTGCCTTCCAAGTAGCTGGGACTACAGGTGCCTGCCACAGTATCTGGCTATGTTTTGGTTGCAGCCGTCATTGTTGTTTGGTGGGCCTAGGCTGGATTCGAACCTACCAGCTCAGGTGTATGTGGCTGGCACCTTTGAATTTCAAAATTCAAAAAGCCAGCGAATTTGCTTTTTCTCATATAGTAATAGGAGTTTTTTACCATAGGATAAGCTAGTTTTTGTTTTTATAATAGTTTTATTTATGGCCAGGCATGGTGGCTCACCCCTATAATCCTAGCACTCTGGGAGGCTGAAGCAGGTAGATTGCTTGAATGAGCTCAGAAGTTCGAGACCAGCCTGATCAAGAGTGAGACCCCCATCTCTAAAAATAGCTGGACTTGTGGCAAGCACCTGTAGTACCAGCTCCTCGGGAGGTTGAGGCAAGAGGATCTCTTGAGCCCTAGGGTTTGAGGTTGCTGTGAGCTATGACGCCATTACATTCTATCAGGGGTGACAAAATGAGACTCTGTCTTTAAAAAAAATAGTTCTATTTATAAAATTACTTTAGTGTATAAATTGCTATATTATTAAATCAGTGAAGCAATATGCTAATGCAAAAGGATATTTTTTAAGTTTATCATACCCAATTTCTACCCTTTTTGTCCCACAAAGATTGTGAAAGGTATATGAAAACAATACATTTTAAAGGTTGATCTTTTAGAGTGTTAGTTTTTTGGTAAGTAATACTTTTTTAAAAAAACTAACCAATTTATTTATCTTTTTAGCTTACAGAAAATCCTTGGCTTAGATTCCTTAGAAGAAGTTTTAGACATCAAACTTGTCAACTCCAAGTTCATCATCCATAATGTATATAGTGTTAGCAAGCAGGGAGTCGTTATCCTTGATGACAAGTCAAGTAAGTGCATAAATACTGTTTTGTTCCCAGTTGACCCAACACATTGGCTGCTCAGGTCCATCAGCTCCTATTTGACCCTTCCCTAAACCCTAAATAAGTTTGTTTCTTCATTACATATATCTTTCTCTCCCTTCCACATACCTTGTAACTAATTGTTTAGATTAAGGAAATGTCATAGAAAAGATTAGTATCCAGGAACTTTAGCACAGTCTACCCAGAGGCTGGCTGTCTTAGCTACTCATGGCATTAAGCTACCCCTGGTTCCATATTGTCCCCAGGAAAATCTCTGAAAAGTGAGCATGTTTGAGATCTGAGAGCTTGAGTCAGTTTGCAGGTGGGCCGGGAGCCTCACTGCATTTAGGGTTCTCTCTGATCTTTTTGTTAGGGTTTCTTTTGTGTTGGATTTTCTAGGATAATGTTTATATTGTTTTTCTTTTTAATAAGGGGGAGCTCTTTAAATTTTGGAGGTCCTTTAATTTTGTATGCCTTTTCTTTTTTTTTCTTTGCAGTTTTGGCCTGGGCAATTTTGTATGCCTTTTCTTCCAGGCCAGTCTATAAATTCAGGGGGAAAAAAGGCATCAGCAGCTACCCAACCTGGTTTTTTATTTGTAAAAATATGGTCCTGGTACCTGTAGTAGGCCACAATTCCCATACTGATTTTAAAACTTCTATGGATAAGGGCTGGATCAGAATTGGGTGGGCTCTTTGATATATTCTTCCTTTAGTTCAAGCTTGTGATGGTGGGAATTGGCTGGAAATGAAATGACTTTTGAACATGGGAAGATGGTATAACACCTTTTGGGTTTTTATAAAATATTACATTTAGGGCTGCAGGTTCCTGGGCAGCAGACAGAATATATCAGAAGGAGCCTGAGCAGTTGTGAGAGGGGAGGAAGGTTATGGGGTTCTTTTTCTAGTCCCTATATCAGGAATGGAGGACAAAGGGAGACAGAAATGGATTTGTGGTGACTCTATGAGTTGTGAAGTTAATCTGAGCATATAAAATTAAGTTTCTAGAATGAGGGAGGTATAGGCTTCTTTTTTTTTTTTTGAGACAGAGCCTCAAGCTGTCCCCCTGGGTAGAGTGCCGTGGCATTACAGCTCACAGCAACCTCCAACTCCTGGGCTCAAGTGAGTCTCCTGCCTCCGCCTCCCAAGTAGCTGGGACCATAGGTGCCTGCCACAACGCCCGGCTATTTTTTGGTTGCAGCCGTCATTGTTGTTTTGGCGGGTCTGGGCTGGGGATTCGAACCCGCCACCTTAGGTGTACGTGGCTGGCGCCTTAGCCGGTTGAGCTATAGGTGCCGAGCCGAGGTATAGGCTTCTTAAATACATCTAAAATCTTTTAAATTCTCTGCATATAGCAAATTAATACATTTTGTTGTCAGATGATCTTTTATCTTTCATTTTATTAAGTAAGGTCAGTCTTCAGAAGGAAGAGAGCATTTTGTAAGGCTCATGCTCATTAGCTCTAACTCAATTCAATAAGTATCTTCCCAGGCTTACAGAAAGTAAAGAAAATGAAGTAGAAGCCTGAATGCCGGCCTGTTTCTTCAGATGTCTATGGCAGGGCCAGGAAGGAAGAGATTCTGTACCAGTGGTTCAGCTGGGATTTTTTGCAGCAGTGTTATTTTACTATTATTATTTTAGGGCTGTCCTAAAAATAGTAGCCTAATATTATGTCAGTGACCTAAAGCATTTCGAAAATGGAAACCTATAAAATGATACTTATATTGGACCTATAGAATTTACCATTTTTAGAGGGAGGTGTTTGGTGAACTTGTTTTATACATGCTTTTGTTACTAATATTTTTGCCTTTTCTGTTTTTTCTTTTCCTTCTGTCATTCTTTTTTTTTTTTTTGAGACAGAGACTCAAGCTTTCCCCCTGGATAGAGTGCTGTGGCATCACAGCTCACAGCAACCTCCCACTCCTGGGCTCAAGTGAGTCTCCTGTCTCAGCCTCCCAAGTAGCTGGGACCACAGGTGCCCACCACAACGCCTGGCTATATTTTGGTTGCAGCCGTCATTGTTGTTTGGCGGCCCGGGCTGGATTCGAACCTGCCACCTTCGGTGTATGTGGCTGGCGCCTTAGTCACTTGAGCCACGGGCGCCGAGCCCCTTCTGTCATTCTTAGGATAAGCGGTTTGTGTTTTGGTTTATTTGAAAAAACACATCAATTTTTTTCCTTTTTACTAAATATTTAAAAGGTGTATCTTGTCCTAAGAAAAATTTGTAGGCAAGATTTATATCAGTACTAAAGAAAGATTTTCATCTTTTAAACATTCTGACACATAAATTGATGATTTATGATTAGCAGATATGTTTCATATTACTTGGGCAGGAAATCCATTCTTATGATACCAAGCATGTATATAATTTCTTGTGTTATGTGGAATTGAATAAAATATCTTCTTTTTATTTTTGTTTTTCCTGCAGAAGAACTTCCTCATTGGGTACTGTCAGCTATGAAGTGTTTGGCAAATTGTAAGTACTAATTATCTTCTGGTTTTGTGAAATTAAGAGAAATTAGTGCCCTGAGTTAGAAAAAAATTGTTTGATGGCCTGAACATTGATTTGACACCTGTGAGAGTGGCAGTTAATTCTTTTGGGACTACTGTGCTTTTAGAGATGAATTTGTGACTTAATAATGAAAGAGCTGAATTATAGAACAGTTTTAAAGGGATTTGGTGCTTAACACTTTATGGCAGATATAATCACACAACCCATAAAATTCACATGACTTCTAATTGTTTCATCACACAAAAGAAAGAAATTAGTTAAATATTATATGTAATATTATGACAGATAGCTACCTGATAATTGTCTGTAAGTTTTTATTCCTAAAACTTATATTTGTATTCCTAAGCCATGTATTCCCAAATATCTACTGTATTTACATCATCAGTTTTGATCAGCCTATCCTATCTATTATTGGCTTTTTATAAGGCAGTATTTTAAGTGGGAGAGAAATTTTTTTAGAAGAGTGATCTAATTGATATGTAGGATGGCTTAGAACAGTGGTTCTCAACCTTCCTAATGCTGCGACCCTTTAATACAGTTCCTCATGTTGTGGTGACCCCTTATTTTTGTTGCTACTTCATAACTAATTTTGCTACTGTTATGAATTGTAATGTAAATATCTGATATGCAGGATGGTCTTAGGTGACTCCTGTGAAAGGGTCGTTTGATCCTCAAAGTGGTCATGACCCACAGGTTGAGAACTGCTGGCTTAGAAGAAGAAGAACTTGAATGCAGAGAAACAACAACTATTTCAGTAATGTGGGTGTGAGATGAGAGGGCCTGGCCCCAGGTGGTATCTGTGAAGATTTTCAGAGGGATATGAAATTTGTTTCATAGACAAATGGTTTGAATTTCACTGAATATCATAGACTCTGAGAAGGAAGAGTTTTTTCCTGGGGATTTTCAGAAGGCTTAATCCATAGAAGAGATTCTAATGTTAATGGTTTAACTGAAACAAATGATTTTAATGAGAAAAGTTCTAGTTATTTTGGCTGACTGATATTGGTAATACGTGGTTTAGAGGGCGTTGAGTCTCACAGATACTTCGGAAAAGTAGTTTTCTTTTGAATAGGACTAGAATGTATAGAGGTTGATATAAATTTCCTTGAAATTATTTTTATTTTATTTTTTTCTGAGACAGAATGATCTGTTGCCCTAGGGTAGAGTGCCATGACATTAGCCTAGCTCACAGCAACCTCAAACCCCTGGGTTCAAGTGATCTTCCTGCCTCAACCTGCCATGTAGCTGGGACTACAGGTGCTCACCACAAGGTGTGGCTAATTTCTTCTATGTTTTAGAGAAGGGGACTCACTCTTGCTTAAGCTAATCTCAAATTATTGAGCTCAAGTGATCCTCATGCCTCAGCCTCTCAGAGTGTTAAGATTACAGCTGTGAGCCACTGTGCCTGGCCTGGAGTTAGTTTTGTTTGATTATAGAATGAAACTAAAATAAATGTTTAGCTCAATGTAGGTAATTTTAGTGGTAATATTTGAAAAATGATTTTATTATTTTGAATATCATCCTGAATATGAATGATATCATTAAGTACTACCATTCTGAATATGAATAGTAGTAACATTAGTTTGTGTGAAGTCCAAAGTTCTCTAGGTTTAACTATTAAACATTTCATTGTTTTTTTGATTAATATTTTAGAACTTGTAGAGCACTGTGGTTTTAACTTGCGAAAGGGCTTTTTATTTTTTGTTAGATCATTTGAAGTAAACTAAATTTAAATTATGCATTTGGCAATGATGAGATAGAAAGTATAAATGGAAAGTTAAATTATCCATTTCTGAATTCTTGGCAAACCAATGATTTGGAAGTTGATCGGCCAGTATAACCAACCTATGTATAATATGTTAGAAAGTGTATATTAAGGTGTGTTTATGGTGCTGAATTTCAGTGATGACTGAAATGTCGTGGAGAGTATAATTTTCCCTCAAGCAAGATGTACATCTAAAGCCTCAGAAAGGTTAGAACAACTCTGACTACTTACCGTGGAGAGGATAGATATGAGGAGTGGCTTAGTAACGATCTCCATGGGTGTGAGGTGGTGTTACAGCAGGTGGCAAACGTTGGGAACAGGGAACATGTGTTGCATGTATCAAGTGCAATGATTTATGGATGGTTGGCACATCTGTAAAATGTTTGTTTATATGTCAAAGAATTAAGGTAGCCAAAAGGCAAGGTCAGCCTTTCAAATTGCTTTATAAAATCACTAAGTGTTTCAAAATTCTCATTGACCCTCAAAGTCTACTTTGAGTCCAAGGAGTCATGATCCGTTTCTTGTCCTTCTTATCCTTAGTAAGTACAGATTCCCATTACAGTCATCTGAAAGGGAGCAAAAGGATTGGCTGATGGATGATATGATACTTTTTTTTTGTTGTTGTTGTTGACAGAACCTCAAGCTATCCCCCTGGGTAGAGTGCTGTGGCATCACAGCTCACAGCAACCTCCAACTCCTGGGCTCAAGTGAGTCTCCAGCCTCTGCCCCCCAAGTAGCTGGGACCACAGGCGCCTGCCACAATGCCCGGCTATTTTTTTGGTTGCAGCTGTCATTGTTGTTTTGGTGGGCAAGGGCTAGATTTGAACCCACCACCTTAGGTGTATGTGGTTGGTGCTTTAGCCACTTGAGCCACAGGCGCCAAGCCGATATGATACTTTTTTTTTTTTTTTTTTTTGAGACAGAGCCTCAAGCTATCCCCCTGGGTAGAGTGCCATGGCATCACGCTCACAGCAACCTCCAACTCCTGGGCTCAAGCGAGTCTCCTGCCTCCGCCTCCCAAGTAGCTGGGACTACAGGCGCCCGCCACAGCGCCTGGCCATTTTTTGGTTGCAGCCATCATTGTTGTTTGGTGGGCCTGGGCTGGGGATTCGAACCCACCACCTTAGGTGTATATGGCTGGTGCCTTAGCCGCTTGAGCCACAGGTGCCGAGCCTGATATGATACTTTGAAGGCCTGCTGCCTCCTTTTCTGTTAGTCTGTTGCTCACCTCTTTCCCTTTGGACTCACCTGCTTTTATCATAGACCACGTGCATGTGGGCCTGATACTTTTGTTTTTGGCCAGCTCCAATGCTGGCTAAATATATGCAAAACTAGGTTAACTGTGTTTTTCTTCTTTGTGCGTGTATCATAAGAATTCAGTCAAAAATGGATACAAAAAAGTCAAAGCTTTTCTTTTTCCCAAATTTGTCAGGAGTAACAATTATAAACTAGATTAAAAAAATTCTTAAAAGTTCAAGATGCCTAAGAAAGAAAAGATTTTAAAAATACGGTTTCCTCTCATAGGACTCACTATGCACTGGTTTTTTAGAGAAACCTTTTTTTGGTTTTTGCATATTTTTGACGAGAATGATGAAATATTCACAAAGGAGTACAACTACTTAGAATGAACCACATACCATGGAGGGAGTAATTCTAGGCAATGTGTTGCTTTCTGAGACTCACCAACTTAACTCTTTGTATAGACTAAGCTTAGCATGTGTAAGGGAAGGAAACAAGCAACGTGGCGCCTGCATTTGCTGCTGGGTTCATGTGATACCACACATAGATATTTTGCAATTTTCATGATTTTGGCCAAAATAAGTTATTTTATAAGGAAAGAATATTGAACGGTGAGAGAATTTAAAAGAGAACAAATCAGGGCATTTGATAACGTCTCGGTGGCCTTGAAATGTGAAGGCCCAGAATGTTTTACTGTCTATTTCAGCTTGATCCTCTTTCTTTAGTTATAGCAACTCTGTAGGAAGAATTTTCTTTCATTTATCTTGGCTGTTGCTCTGTTCTCTTGGGGGTACAGGTCTATTTGGGTGCAGTTGTTTAGTTTTCTGCTGGCCCCAGACTGGCCAGTGCAGTGCCACTCCTTTCTTCATGCTGTAATGGAAATGGGGAAGCCCAGTGAAATTCTTCCTCATGGGACCCCTTGCCATTTTCCTCAAGGCTCCAGTTAAGTCTCTCAAGTTGGCAATGTTTGTTGGGGGCATTTGCTGCCAGCTCTGTAGAGAACATGTCTTGTTCTCCTTTGGTCCTAAATGCAAGTGGAATTTTGCCTTGCTTGCTGCTGGCATAAGATATAACAAGGACCAGGCAGTGTTGGGATTTTTATTTTTGCTCCAACTTTATGATATTTATTAGTAAACTGTCTTTTGATGATTGGTTGGAGATCAGATAGAGAGTTTATAATCAGAATAAATTAACAAGGGAAGATGTAAAATCTCCTTTTCAGGGTATCATTTAAAAAGTTAAAATTTTTATTGGTCTGAAATAATAGTTTAGAGGCAGAAGTTATTTCGTTCAACTGTGACTGTAGGGTTTTATAATATAGCAAAAATGAAATAATGAAAAACTTTAAAAATTGCTTTATTACCAGTATATTATACATATGAGCTAGTTGTTGTCTTAAGTTTATCAAGACTGGGAAAATACTGAGTATTTCAAAGAAAATTATAATTGTTTACAGTTAAGACAAATGCTTTTCAGAAGAACATTGTAAAAAAAAAATGAGTGTCTTTTAAAATGCGTTAAGCCTTTAATTTTCCTGATTATTTTATAATAGATTTCAATTTAGACAGAAAGTATTGTGTAAGCAAAATAGATAGGCCTCATTTAATTAATGCTAATTTTCCTGATGAAAATTTTTCTGAAAAGAAAATTTTAGACCGATATCACTAATGAATATTGATGCGAAAATATTCAACAAGATCCTAACCAACAGAATCCAGCAACACATCAAACAAATCATACACCACGACCAAGTGGGTTTTATCCCAGGATCT